CAATACATAAATATGTACACATAATGTAAGGATGTTTCCTACTTAGGACTGTGAGTGATACACATAATGCACAGCACACATTCAATACGATTGAAATAGGCTAAATACAAATTACCAACGTCCAGCAATGTATAAAATTCTTACCGCAAAGTCCTAGTGAATAGAATACGAATAAAGGAGCGCTACAAATAGAATCTGAAATGAAAGCCTTTCAACTTTCTAAAAAAAAATGGACTGACCATATATATACTATATATACATATATATACTACTCTAGACTGGACATGGAGATTTTTTAACTCTACAAAAAATGTCGTGAAATTTTTTTTAGAAAGTTGGATGAAGGCGTTGTTTTGTAAAGTAGTTAAAAGAAGTTGTTTTTTTTTCAACCCTAACCTACGTAACATATAATTTAATTTTTAGATCTAGATCTAGTAATTGAACATCAAAAATAAGAGAACTCTCGTCTCATAATTATTATTTTGCAATTTTTATATACATAATCTAGAAAGATCTAAGTAATCAATCTATTTAAAGGAACATAAGATGATTTAAATCAACATGAGTTATTTCGGTCTAGGATTTTTGAAACATCTGAATGGAAACAAACAGGAAATGGCTTTGTTTCATATACTTGCGTGAATAATCGAGAAATGATTTTGCATTATTTCTAAACTTTGAAAACTAAAGATCATTACTTTTTTAAGACAGAAAAGATTGATTGGGGCGACTTCCCTTAGATCCGGGAAAAAGAGTTCACATACATAAAAATCTATCTATCTTTCTATCCATATATATATATATATATATATATATATATATATATATATATATATATATATATATATATATATATATATATATATATATATATATATATATATAGGTCTGTGAATCGATCAATCGCGGATAAGAATTTAATATCAGGTGACCGAGCCTCGCTCGGATGAATAATTTGTTAAGGAAGGATATATACCCGAAGTCATTTTTGGGAATATTGTTGTAATTACGAAAATGAACGATAGAGTAAAGAATATTAATCCGAAGAGTTGCTTTTTCGTTCTGTCAGTTCTCAATGTAATTGTACATGGCGATTGGAATAGAAAGTTCTCCCAACAGTGGGCCTACAGAAAACCACAGCTCACGTCTTAACGTTTTACATTGCTTCTATTGGGCTATTATAGGCTTGGAAGAAAGTCTTTGCAGTGTAACTTCTAAAATGGTTACTTTCTGACATTTAATATTGCAATTAATATATTCATTATGGCTCTGAGACATGGAAACTTTACAGAAAACAACTAAGACTTCTTGAGTGCTTTCATCAAAGATGCTTGCGCTCCATCATGGACATACGGTGGCAGGACCGCACTACAAACAGCGATGTCCTTGCCAACGCTGGTATGGACAGTATAGAGGGACTTCTTATGGTCCGACAGTTGCACTGGGTAGGGCACGTATCCCGTATGGGAGACGAACGTATGCCAAAGGCAGTCTTTTTTTTTTTTTTGGTGAGCTAAAAGGTGGTCGACGTAACAGAGGCGCCCGACGGAAACGCTTCAAAGACCAGCTTAGGCGACAACTCTCCTTGGCTGGCATGGAAGAGAGAACCTGGTTGTATGCGGCCTCCGAACGAGACAGCTGGAGGTCACTCACGAATGCCGCGGGATACACATTTGAGAAGAAAAAGAAGATCTGCTGCCGGAAAAGAAAAGAAAATCTAAATCAACCACCTGCGGACAATGGTTATGCTCTCCCTGGATGTGGCAAAATATGTAGGTCACAGCTGGGGCTGCGCAGCCACGGGAAATATGCATTCCTCACTAATCTTCAGACTCGAAGACAAGCCTTATTATTATGGCTTTAGTAAGAATCATCAAATGATGCAAAATCTCTACGTTATAGTGTAAAACGTGCACCTAGTAACAAAGTAAAATCGCGCATTTTTTCCTAAGAGACTTAAAAACATCGCGTTAATATTCTAAAAAAGCGTTATTATTGTGAGGTATCTCTGGTACTCCGACAACCTTTCAGCTTACTAAAAAAAAAAGATTGATAAAAGTATATTCGTCTCCCATACGGAATAAGTGCCCTGCAAAGCGTGAATGTCGGATTTTAAGAAGTTCATACTATTTTGTATTGCGGTCTTTGGTGAAGTCGTTCAAGAAATCTTAGTTGCTTTCTATAAAGTACTCATATCTCAGATCCACATAGAGGGGTTGAGAGAATCACTGGTTGACACTGATTTGTGTAGCCAGGCGGAGCGATTTATCTCGCTTAGAGGCGTCCAAAAGCACGACTATCCCTGATCACATATCAACCTCTCTTTAAAGCAATGCTACATTTGATACTATGCTTCCCAGAGAATGTGAAGTTATCTAGCACTTTAAGGGATGTCTATGCGCGGTGATCTTTGGGCTGAGTAGGTTTTATTGAGTGACTTCTGGAACATGACTTCTGTTTTACCAAGATTATAGGTTAACCAAAAAAAGCAGCAGCGTGATGAAAATTCGTTAACCGCGAGCTGGATATCACCAGGACCAGCCTTAAGCCTATGCTGCCGCAGTGGACCCCGAAGGTTCAAAAGCCCCGCTAATTTTAGGTGTAAATTATTAAATTAAACCATTATAATTTATAATAGGGTTCCCGTGGTCTCCTTGTTTTCAAGGAGCTCCTTGAAATCTCCTGTAACTCATAAAAATGTCCTTAAAAAGACAAACTTGTCATTTTGGGGTGTCAATCAATATGGTAAACGCCAGTCCTACGCGTGATATAAAAAAAAACGGCATCGCCAGCTTTCATTTAATAAAAATGTAATGCAAATACGAATTTATTTTCTAATACAAAATTTTTATTTAAACTTATTATCCTTATCCTTACTGGTCCGAGCGCAATCCATTTCACATAGGGCCTCGCAAATGTTAGGGCCGGCCCTGGTTGTGCAAGTAAGGCTTAGATAAGCTGTGTTATGACCATCTCCTATGTTGTGGTATGGGACAGTAATTCACCAGCAAAATAATAACAATGTAAAAGCTACATACGGGTGTACGCAATTAAAGTGTAAACAATTTATAAATCCTTTAAAACACAATAACTAATCATACATAAAGATATTTATTTTCTTCCATAATGGATCAATGTACAATAAGATGGTGCGCAAATGATTAATTAGGCCAATTGATTCATTAAAACTTTCTCTTGTTTGCGAAGAAATGTCTTAGTGTACTGCGTGAGCTTAGTGACGTAAGCGGTGTCAAGTTTTTTTTCCCATTGACGTCATATAGAAAATTTCATTCATAAAACATTCTAGCCAAAATTATAGATAGATATCTATATATAGATAGATATATAAATATACATACATACATACATACTTACATACATACAAGAATTGCTCGCTTAAGATTATAGGATTTCGTCTAGTATATTATATAAGTCTATGGGACTGGCTCTCTTGATTGAAGAAGTTTAAGATTTATATGCTGCTAGGGATTCGGCAGCAAAGCATGTGATAGATCAAGATAATGTGTCATCCGGTCAAGATCAGAGCCTCTTCAGACCTTAGTGGGAGGCGTTAATCTTGACCGGGCGTGAGGTCAAGCGTGACGTGCGCTCATGGTCTAGACCAGTGGTCTTCAACCTTTTTTGGCCTACCGCCCCCTTTTCGAATGTTTTCTTTAAAAACCGCCCCCCTCTAAGAAAAACAGTTATGAAGAAGCGTGAGAAAGCAAATTTGAACAAAGTATCATCTATTTATTAATTTTTATGCTGTCAATAACACTTATCCCACTTGGAAGACAAACCGCATGCCAAAGGCGATTGTTGTGAACTCCTTGGCCTATGACTGACGAGCTTTGAAGAGGACTGAGTTACAGAGGTGCCCCCCTCCCCCGTGTGCGATATAAAGATTTATTCAGGCGCCATTTCGCTCTCACTGGCATAGAAGAAAGTACCTGGCAGCATTCTCTGGCAGCAGATAGCCTCTGAGAGAAACAGTTCGTGAGCTCTTACAAAAACTGCGGGACAAACATTTGATACAACGGCTTCATTTCCCCCCACTCCCCCCACCCTAGATACGCCACTGTGTGCCTCCTATGTTTAGATTCTTTTTACTGAAGACATAGTTTTGTAAATCTATTTTTTCATGCAACTCACTTTGAACGTAGGTAACAGATGTTTAATAATTGTCATTTATATAAATAAATATATATATATATATTTATTTAATTTTAGAAGCGAATCTTAATTTCTTCATAGAATTGTTATGTAAATGGAATAGATATAGGTGTCCTTGGGCACTAATTCATTTGTCAATAAACAAGTGATGTGAGATTGTAAAACTCTTTACAATAGATTTAATATCTCGATAAAAGAGAAAATGATATAATCAATAAAAGTCAATCTCTTTTCTAGCAGTCGGAAGTTGGTTTCATTCAATTATGTTAGATGCCTACCATGTAAAAAAAATTTTTACAACTAGAGTCTTACACCTTTTCATCATTTGTTTCATAAAACTTTTGAAAGATGCGCTTATTTTCGGCATGGGCTTGTATTTTATTTACAGTTTTATTATTAGATTCAAATAGAAATGAAATTGCGGGCTAAACTTTTATTGTGTATCATAACTCACAATGTGAATAGTGAATAGATTTGTTCTTTATTCTATATTACCTATGAAGTCATTGTAACGTCCAACCACTAACGGTTTCCTTTATGACCTCATAAGCTACATAACTAGACAATTTTGAAAAATATTTCATTTCTAACAGTAAAAAAAGTCTTTTTGTGTTACATATGTTTTAAAATAAATTTAGTTTTAATCAATTTTTCAACAATATCGCAAGTATTTTAAAAAAGCTATACATTTTTCTAATAAGCCATTAAAACATATCCTGCTTTGCCGTTTTTTTTTTTGTTTTTAATATTGTTTTAATTGTAGATTTTTATAATTGTTCATGAATATTCTTAAATTATTTTTGGATATCGCTATATGTTCGTGAAGCCGACTTGATTTCATAACCTCATCTGAAAATGCCATCAAAGTATAATTTACTTTTTTCTAGTGGCAATTCATTAAATCTCAAGGAAATATTACATGACATACCAGTGAGTTTTCGTAACAACATTTTATCAATGCTTTTTGTTTTTAAAAAGTTAAATTATTCTATTAAATGTTACCTTTAATGTTTTTTGCAATTAACATTTACATATCAATATATTAACATATGTAGATAAAATAAACTATAATCTAAAAGGCGTATTACCTAGTTTGTTTATCAAATCTTAGACGTTTAGACGCGCAAGATCCAAGGACAATAAATACTCTCCAGTCATAGCAAAAGAGTAAGATTTTAAAAATAGAAAATGGGATTCCCGAACTCAATTTCTAACGCTGTTTCTGTTCTTAAATTAGAAGCAAGTTAACTATAATTTGTCTATATTTAGTTTCCCAGCTTTAATGTTGAAGAATTTTTAAATTTGTTTTGTTATAGAGCACCTTTAGTTTCTTCTTCCCACCTTTATGCCCAGCGCCCCCTTACCGCCCCATTTTGTGCCCAGCACCCCCCTACCGCCCCTTTGGCTCTCAGCGCCCCCCAAAATCTCGAAAACGCCCCCTAGGTATCGATATCGCCCCCGTTGAAGACCACTGGTCTAGACAAAGGGGAGGGGTAATTGTCACCTCGCAAGATGAAGGGCCTCATTGTCTCGAGCTATCAAGATTGACAGACCTGAATAGAATAATAGAGCCATAGGCCAGATAGGTAAGATGATGAGTAGCAAATGTGGTTTGACTTAGGAAAGGTAATGTGCTAAGAGATGCTGGTGAAAACAGTCTAGGCACACACTTAATAAGGCAAAAAAAATAAATAATTTCTGCGTAAAATGCTGAGGTCGATTGATTTTCCTCAGCAGACGGATCGTCACAGATGTACAAGACAAGTTTAGAGCCATGCATGAGGCCCAACTCAGAAAGTCTCAAGAAATTGAGGCAAACTGGAACCAACTAAAGTAGGCTCTCCGTGACGCAACGGCAAATGCCGTGAGCTATTACAGACGCTGGTTCAAAGAGAACAACACAGCAATTCAATAGTTGTTAATTTTGAAAGAAAACGCACCTACTACTGTTATGTGCTGGTGAACCCCAACAGCACCGAAAAAAATCGCTCTACAGAGCCTTGTGTACTACTTTGATGGCAAAAGCTTTCAGAAAACATACTACGATACGCGGACGCAGAAGACACGAGCACGTTCTTTGAACTTACGGTCCAACTTGAACATACAGGACTATGGGGTCTCTAAAAACTGAGACGGCCATTTCTTGCTAACCGACTTACTTCATCAGTGGTGACTAATTAGCGTCAAAATAATGTGTCTGATGAGTTTCTTTCTGAAATCCCGCAAGAAACAGTGGAAATGGAACTCAACGAATATCCAAGTCTTCCTGAGGTTTCAACGGCAATCGGGAAGGTCAAAAGACAAAACGCCTGTGGCTGAGACGCTCTTTTTTATTTTTTTGTTTGACGTCGTTCGAAATGAATTATTGAAATGAAATGTTATAAGAACCCTTCGTCTATGTCAGATGGCCAAGTTTGACTACCAAACTGTCTTTATCAACACGAAAGAGTTGATGAGAATTAAAGACCTTGCCCAACGAGTTCTTATAGCATTTAAAGAATTCATTCCGAATGGCGTCAAAGAAAAAAACTTTCCATTAAATCACACTGCCTAGTTTGACTAACAAAATGTCTGTGTTCTAGAAATCAAATTGTGTTCGAAAAATGAATTAATGTGTCTATAACTGTTCATAACATTGTAACTTTGATAGATACCAAATTCAAATTTGGAACCATCATACATGCTTTTTAAATTCTTTGTTATGCGTTTAACTTTTGGTGGAATAAAACAATATAGAGAATAACAGAGGTTTCGTGCTATTTTTATGATTAGTTAACGCAATTCTGCTTTCAAGGCAGCTCTAAATATTTATTCCAGAATAGTTAGAAGAGTCTTATTATTGATAAGGTGTTGTCCTGTTTAGGTTTACTATAACGGCAATTTTTTTTTTTTTTTGAAATTGTATTACTTATGTGAGCAGGTTAGGAGGCGCGAGAGAACTTTTCTCTGCTCAATATTAATTTTATACAGTAGGCAGATGTTAGCGCTACTGGGTGGCTCAATCTGTGACACCTCAGTCTACGACCAAGGGGCTAGAGTCGCCTAAGTAACCAGACAGCTAGACTAGACTAAACTAACTAAAAGAAAGCAAGAACAAGAACTTTACTTGAAATACTAAAAATAAAACGATACTTTATTTACATGAAAAAAAATCAATAATAAAATATAATATATACACTAGCCACTACAACTGAACCTAGCGACTAACTAAAACCCTCTAAATCTACGCCACTACCAAACACCAACAAACTAACCAAACCAACTATCTAAAACAAACTGATCAAAAACAACTATCTAACTAAATCACTACAACTACTACACTAGACCTAGATCTACAAAACAAGAACACCTTAGTTCCTTACTATTCACTAAGAACAGACTAAGCCACTAGGTCTAAGCCGACTAAGGCAACACTACAAAAACAAAATAACACTAGATTCCCTAGATCTATCTAAAGAAGCAATAACAATAGCAGTAATAAATGCAGCAGAGGTTGTTATAGCAACAGAGTAATAGCAGCTTAAAGCAGCAATAACACAGCAGTAATATTCAGCAGTAACAATAGCCTGCAATACATAAATGCAAAACTATAAATACAATATATATATATATATATATATATATATATATATATATATATATATATATATATATATATACAACATATATTCTACTAGATCTAGAGCATGAACAACATATTCATATCAGGCTAAGCTGGGCGCCGCCATTTTTAATACAGCATGTTGGGAACAACTGCCAACTAGAAAATAAAACTAAATTAAAATATATCTAGCATATTTACACATAGTGTGACATTGATCTAGTAACAGAAAATATAAAATCGTTATACACTTACAGACCGTCCCAGGTACAGAAATATAGCAATGATTAAATTATCATACGCCAGATCACTAAGATCATCAACTGTCACATAGACAGAGATATACTTTACTGACCGCTGGTCAACTGTACATGATGTAGCATGGATTTAACTATTTATACTACCCGCCCTAACCCATATGAAAAAGCGGAAGTACAAATATTAATTCTGGCACTAGCCTATAAAAAATAGAATACATAAAAATAGCTTTAGCCTATAAAAATACACACAAACAAGATTAGATAGTTTGTATTGCAACACAAACTCAGAGGCGGCCCCGTGGGATCCCTGTCGGATACGCATATTCATTGGTCGACTGAGGATGGCATCGAGCAGGGTATGAAACCGAGACCGTAGAGATAATCAGTCCTGCGCAATACCCGCACGACCAGGCATTGCTCTTAATCTAATGACAAACTGGTTACAAACTAATAGCCTACTATGATAATATACCTACACATTAAAAAAGTAAAAGTAAAGTTCCCCCTTCAGACCTAGTGGTCTATGGGGCAGATGATGTAAAGGTCATCTGTTTCTGTGGCCTACGGTTAACAAGGGTGTCATGTGGCCAGCACAACGACCAACCGCCTAACTAATGTCAGATACAAATTAGAGCTGGGTGAACTCAGAGGCACCCGAAGATCCCGATATTAAAAATCCCAGGATTCACCAGAATTCGAACCCCAGTCCCCGGTTCGGAAGCCAAGCGCTTTACCGCTCAGCCACCGCGCCTCCATACCTACACATTACGGAATGACAACTACCGGATATGTACAATATGTCAGAAGAGCGATTTTAGATAATCTTTTGGTATTGAGCATTTTCATTTATCTTATCTTATCTTATATAATACAGACGTTACTTCAAAAAGAAGATGATTACGTCCTACGCATCATGCATTTAGTCATGCATATTAACCAATGACTTAAATTCTGCCAAGTCACTGGTTTTTCTGGCTAGCTCAGGCAACCCATTCCATGCTCTAATAGCACTAGGGAAGAAGGAGTATTTGTACAAATTTGTCCTAGCATATGGGACGAGGAATGTGCCTTTATTTTTGTGTCTTTCAGAGTATTTTATTAAGTTTTGTTTTTGTATTTGAAGATTATGGTTCAGTGTTTTATGTATAATTGCTACTTTACTTTTGAGTCTTCTGTCCTGAAGGCTTTCTAAATTTAGTGATTTTTCTAATGGTGTTACTCTAGTCAATGGAACTAGAATGAGAATAAAGATCTACCTAAATTAAACTACTAATTTAGCACTCTCAATATCTATATTTACTAGATCTAGATCTAAAATATATATTTGGGATAATGTAGTTGTAATTTAGATAAGATTTATATATAAAAAACACTAGATAATCAATTAATAGACAAATTGCAATATGAAATATTAAAATAGTAGATTACTTTTAGTATTTTATAAAATTGCAATATTGGCATATTGACAATCTAGACTTTAGAAATAAAAATCTACACTTTATGCCTAGAAATTAAAATTATAGATCTTGATCTAGTCTAAATCATGGCTGTCTGGTAGTGTGGTTTGCGCGCTGGACTGTCGTTTGGATTCATCGATTGTCCCAGGTTCAAACCCTGCCCGCTCCCGTCCCCGTCGTCCTACGGGAGGTTAGGACTACAACTCTGAAGAAACATCCGAAACATGTAAAACAACAAACATTCTAAACTAGACCAAGATATTCTAGATCTAGATTCTATAATGATTTTAATTAGAACTTAAATCTAAATCCAGTTTTAAAAATCTAGCTCGTGTTAGAAAAAAAATCTAGATCTAGTGTAAAAAAATCTAGCTGGTGTAAAAAAAAATCTAGATCTAGTGTAAAAAAATCTAGCTGGTGTAAAAAAAAATCAAGATCTAGTGTAAAAAATCTAGATTAGATCTAAATCTAGCTATTCTGTCTTTTTAAAATGCGAGTCACATTACGAGGTTTAATAAACATTTCTATACCGAGTTGTTTTTAGCATTTAAAGAATTTATTCCATATGACGTCAAAGGAAAAAAATCCACTACGTCACACGGCCTAGTTAGACTAAAAAATATCTATACGAGCAGCTTGTTGAGGGTTCATAGACATTGGTGCACCGAGTGAGTTCTTTTAGCATTTCATTTAAAGAATTAACTCCATATGACGTCAAAGGAAAACAATTCCATTACGTCACACGTCCTAGTTAGACTAAAAAATATCATCTATACGAGCAGCTTGTCGAGTGTTCATAGACATTGGTGCACCGAGTGAGTTCTTTTAGCATTTCATTTGATGGGCTTGTTAGGCTTAATAATAGGCTTAAGAGTATTAAAGACGC